GCTTGCATGCGGTTTATAGGTAAGTACCCTCTTGAAGTTTAGTTGGTTCAACCTGTCCTAGAAAGTAAACGGGTTCTAGGGAATCTCAATATCACTGATCTTTCTTCATCGAGCATTATTTCAGCGCAAGCCTCTTTATTGGCGACCAAAAGTCTGATCTCAATGAGCGTAGTATCGAGTATCAACCAACTTCGGACTGTACCAAAGCCGGCTACCTCACTACTTCCTAATGACCAAGTTATTCAAGTAAGATTCTAAAGTCAGTTAGTGCTTCATGACAACACACAGCGGCCCCGTATTCTCCTTGACTACTCAAGGGATACCGGTACCAACAAATGTGTCACACTAACGTAGCTATTACTTAAACCATGTCGGTATACCCTCCACAGTTTCCACAACTTATTGCTACTTACCTAAAAAAAGGTGCCCCAGATTCGGGTAGAGGATCAAAACAAACCCAAACAAGGAACCATAATATAAAGCAAACAAATCAAACAATGAAACGAAATTAAAGGTGATCTAGCCCTAAGGTAACCCCACTTTTAAGTAAATTCCCCAATAGAGTCGCCAGTTCTGTAACACGGTGGGCGAACTGACTTGGGTGTTTTGCGTTTGATCACATTTGTTGTGGATAGCAAGATTCGCCACCGACTTTTCTTTTATCCAAAAGGAAAGGCTGAAAAGAACAGGAAATACCTTTCGACATTATTTCTTGAGTTCGGGGGGTGGGTTATGAAAAGGGAAGGTGTTAGCAACCTTTTCATCCGTATTCATCTACGGGCTGTTAGTTGCTTGGTAGATCACTTGCTTTTTGTTTGAATGTGTGTTTGTGATGTGGGTTTTGAAAGTATTTTGAAAATGAGTGTCTTTGTAATGGTTATCATCTCTATAAGAACGCGTACAAAGTTTTTTATCTTTAAAAATATTTCAAAGTGAAATTGTGGGTGTATAAAATGTTTGTGTTGTGAGCAAGCGAGTAACTAGGAGCATCCTACCTACTCAAAAGGTCTTAAACGTTCTTTTCCTTCTCCTTTAGATGTTGCTATCTTACCACTGATTTGGTAAGAAGCCCCATCATTGGATGTGAAGGGACGGGCGCGGGACGTTTGTATAGTCATAGAAGGAAACCTATGGGACGTTTTAGCAATGTCGTTTAGGGACTAGATCGCTTACCGAACGTAACATTGAGGGTCATCGAGGAACCGCAATCTTTTATCGAAGATCTTTGCTAAAACGTCCATATTCGAGGAACATGACTATTTTCTGAAAGGCGACAAAGTGAGATTACCCTAGAGGTGTTGGTGTGCAAGTGTGTTTGATTACTTGCATTTTGTCTTGCATTTAAAGGTTATCTACTTGTTGGTTTTGTCTTGCCATACACCCTAATTACTAACAATGTATGAAAGCAATAAAAGTGCGTAAATAAATCCTAAGCTATTACATCATTTCAGGGATGGGGATACATATTTACAAATGGGGATTGCAAGAATTTAAATCATAATTATCTATTACAACCATATTGAATTGTACAATACAAGAAAATGGAAAGGATTTATTTTGAAAATGGTTTTTTGTCTTAACATATTAAAAGAAAAAATAATTAGTTAATAAAAAGAAAATATTTTTAAGTCTTTTTTTATATTAATAAAGATAGTATTAATGCTGAAAATAATAAGAATAAGAAAGAAAAGGAGAAATAACGAAAATAGGATCAACACGTTGCTGGAAAAAAATGAAGGGGACCAGAAGTTCTGATGCTAGGCACGCTGTAGTTAAGAAAGAAACATAAGAGGAAACCAGAAGTTCTGATGCTAGGCACGCTTAGTTCAGAAAGAAACGTTAGAGGAAACCAGAAGTTTTGGGTTGCTGCGTGCTGAAGTTCTGGGTATTAAAACAGTAAGGAAAACCTAGAAGTTATGTGTGATGTGTTACAACAGTGAGAAAGACCTAGAAGTTCGGTGTGCTGTGTTACAATAGTGAGAAAAACCTAGAAGTTTTGTGTTGTGTTACAACAGTGAGAAAAACCTAGAAGTTTTGTGTTGCGTTAAAACAATGAGAAAAGCCTAGAAGTTCTGTGTTGTGTTACAACGGTGAGAAAAAACCTAGAAGTTCTATGTTGTTTTAAAACAGTGAGAAAAACCTAGAAGTTCTGTGTTGTGTTAAAATAGTGAGAAAAACCTAGAAGTTCTGTGTTGTGTTAAAACAGCGAGGGAAGCCTAGAAGTTCTGTGTTGTGTTAAAACAATGAGAAAAACCTAGAAGTTCTGTGGGTTGTTAAAACAGTGAGAAAATCCTAGAAGTTATATGTTGCACTTCACCTCCTTCCTTACATTAGCCATAGCATCTTCAACTTATTCAGTTCTTAACAACAGCAAAACAAAAAAATAAAAGCACGACAATTTATAGAAGTTTTATTCCTAATTCTGAGCCTAGTTTTCTTCAAGAAGTTCTGATCCATAAATTTTCTACTTGGGAAATAACATATACAGTCTCAACACTATGATATCTACATTTTTAATGATGTTATGAATGAAAAGTTCAAAGTCAGGATGACTTACCTTGAATCTGAAACGTGTGTTTGGGACTTCAGTTGTTGCCTTCGAATGTTCTGGGGTTAGCAAGAAACAGAACAAAAATGTTATGTTCTTTGATTCAAAGAGAAGAACAAAGGTATTGTTTTTTTGAGAAATCTGGATTTAAGAATGTTTGAATGTTTTCTTTTCTCTCTTTTTGTATTCAATAACTCTCTCTTTCCAAAAAATAGCCCCTTAGACGTGTGGTGGAACCATTTATTTATAGATGAGTTTGTTGTGGTTTTGGAGGGAAAAACAAATGGGATTTGAACCCTTTTGGCATATTGTTCCATTGCTTTTTAAATACAGGCTTTATGTGCTAATTTGGTGCAAAATATGGGGTTTGAGAAAAATGTAGGCATGGACTGGATCAGTAGCAATTTGGAGTGTTGTGGCAGCTGGATGCAGGACTAGATCATAGCAATGTAGCAGACTGTTCAAAACGAGGTTTTGGGGCTTGGTGATGTTCTGATCGAAGAGTGGAAAGACCAGAGTGAGATTCGAAGGATGATGTTCTGATCGAATAGTAGAACATAGTCTCCATATGCTGAAGAATGAGGTTTGAAGAGTCATGTTTTGATCGAAGAACACAACTTCCATATGTTCTGATCGAAGAGTCATGTTCTGAATCCTCTTTGCAAATTCTGATTTCACTTATGTGAAAACTGGCCCAGAAGTTCTGAAATTATCATATTTTCTTAACACTTTAGAAAATTTTCTAAGTGTTTAGAAATTTTACTTTTTCAAAGTTATTTCTGACTTTTGATTTTTTGATGAACCAATTTCCTTTCCTGATGAAATATTATTGTTAAAACTTGATTTTGATTCAAAAGTCAAAGTTTGACTTTTTAGTGTGCTTTTGACCATCTTGCCCTTGTGAATGACTTTCTTGGAAATTGTAATCCGAGAATTGAAACTTGACTGAAGCAAAACTGAGGGTTCAGGATGATCTTTTGAGAAATGAGAAGGAAAATTTTGAAGTACAACACACACATAGCAAACAGAATGCACACAATATGGAATTGCCCAAAATGAGTCTTTAAATAAACCAGAGGGGTTCCTGACATGATCAGCAACAGAGGCCCCCATCATACATATCTATCCTACTTCTCATGGCATCAGAAAGCAGTAAAGCCCTACTTCTCATGATCTCTAGAAAGGCGATAAAGAAATGCGATAAAGTACGGAGAAGTACAACGGTAGTAGCGATGACTACCAAAGAAAGCAAATCGTCAAGAGCAGACGAAAGCAATGGAGAAGTAGGGAGTACGCGTCGAGAAAGCTTCACCAAGAAACAAAAAAAGTCAGAAACAATATCCAACTAAGATAAAAGCAAACACGTGTTGCGAATGTAATGCATAATCAGAAGTTCCTGCACAAAGTGCATAAAAGTATCACATGTATCAGGACAACACATAATACAATATGAATTTCGCATGACGATGATAAAGAAGGTGTGTCGCATCATAAGTCGTATGCTTCGATCACATAACCACCTGTTATATTACATAATCGAAAACAAAAGAATGTACCTTGCACAACGAACAAACACGTCAAAAATAACATGGCAAAGCGGCATGAAAACATGGGTAAAAACTAAAAGAAAAAATTATATTTTTTATTAGTTTTTTGTGTAAAGAAAATTCTATAGAAAAAAACTAAAATTAATTCCTAAAATTTATATTAAAATCTACTATTTTATATTGATTTTATTATATTTTTATATTGAATTTTATTGGAAAAAATTAACAAAAAAAGTCCTAAGTCTAACGAAGAATTTGTGAACTTAGGGGGTGCTAATTTGAGTATAGGGGATGTTGAAGGAGTCTGGACGCTAGGCCCATCAGAGGTGAGGTCCGTAAATCCTTTTTGATATCTAGCTAAGTCTTAATTCCTAAAAATGTAGCATTGGGCTACAATGAACTTGCAGCAAGAGGCTCAATCGATGGATACAAATAAGTCCAGCTACCTAAACCCAATAGATTACTTCTGATTAGCATTTAATTTAAATTGAATTAAACAAAATAAATAAAAATTTAACAAAATTATGCAGAGGGTGGAACGGCAGCGTATGAAGTGGGATTAGGGTTCCTAATTGTGACCCTTGGAATCCTTTCAACAAAATCCAATCCCTCCCTTCTTTGCTTTCCGGAGCCACAATTTTGACTTTCTCTTCTTTGATCGAATCGTTGCCACAACTTCTCCTTCCGCCATGATCTCAGTCCTTCGAACCTCCATCATCTCCTTATCTGATCAACCGAAACGATCTACCGCCGTAACCAAAACATCCTCTCATCTTTTCTGGTCCGTCATTGTGAACAAACTGTAACTCCTTGCTCTCGTCTCTCGCCTCGATATCTTCTAATCTTCCAAATAAAATCTCAGTTTTGCAATAAACAACAACTCTTCGCAGGAACAAAATCAAACTCTATGCAAAGATACGAAAAGCAAGAAGGAAAATACATAAAGAGTGAAACACGTGCTTTACCAACCGGAGAACGTTTGGAACTACTTCAATGGAGTATGGCGAGTTCAAATATGTATCTAGTAAGCTTTTCGACCATGCGTTCAATCTTCACCTATTCTTCTTCTTCTTAATGCGATTTCTATGTGTTTGTCATGCTGCGAAAGTTGTTCTGAATTTGATGAGCGAAAGTAATGACGATGCAGATTTGTTGTGAACACGTTGTTGTTGGAGAAGCTTGCAAACAATTTCCAGAATTTGTGATGGACGAACCATGAATGATGAGGCTTGAAGATGGTGAAGTTTCAAAGAGAGTAAGATTGTTGACAGAGATAGAAGCTTCGGTCACAGAAGGATCTTTTCAGAGGTATTTAGAGAAGGTGAAGATGAGGCTTAAAGGTGAAACACTATGAAGATTCAAGCATGAAGATTATGGAAGATAGAATTGAAGAGAGAATTGAAAGGTGAGTCTCTATTTTTTGTGAATTTTCTGTTATGAATCATTCCCTCTCCTTATTTTCTGTTATCTGTTATATTTTGAGGTTCTGTCAGTGAATTATGTTATAAAATTATGTTTTTTTGGGAATTGGAATTATGTTTTGACAATTCTGTTATAGAAGGCGGTTAGGGATTTAGAGGGAGTTAGAAACTATTGGGAAATTGGAATTTTGTTAATGCCAGGTGGAGATTTTGTTTGTTATATTTCTGCTTTTCTTCTGATCTTATGAATGAGAGTCTATTCCTTCTATACTTTCTTGACTTTCTGATTTTGTGTTATATTCTTGTGCAGGTTTTATGAGGTGGTTATGTTTATGTGCGGGGCTGCTTGCATTTTGACTTTATACCAGCAGTGTTCTTCTAGAACTTTCTGATATCCTGAAGTAGAAGTAGCTAAGCTATTCAGATGCTTAGCTAGATAGACCAAATCGTCCCTGTATTTATTATGTAGATGGTGCATTCCTTCTTTTGTTTGATGAACAATCATTTTCAACTCCTGGATGTTTTCATTTTTCCTTTGAATTATGTTTTGGCAGTTTTGATGCTTTAAAAGTTGGCTACTTGATTCTTTACTGCCATCATTTTCTTCCATCTCTTCATCACCATCAACAGCTTTTGAATTTGAATTCAATCCTTAAGATGGTGTCTTATCTTCTCGGGGTGTTATAGATGTTTGTTGTTGTATCGTGAGCACGCGACTTTCAAACTCCTCCATGACTTTTCTAAGCAGAGATTCCATTATAATTGGAGTTTCTTCTTGTTCTTATCATGCAAAATTTCAGGAACTAGTGAAAACACAAAAGGAATACAACTCCATTCAGTTGGATCAGGAAGTAAAACATCAATGTTTGAAGAGTGATCACCCGACCAACTATCTTTGTCACCTATTGACTTAGCTCTTGACAAAGACCTTGTAAATGGTTCTAAGCGTTTCCTCACAACTTGTTTCTCAAAGCTAGGTGGTTTTGGATTCCCACCATATTTCCACAATCCATTTTTACCTCCCTTTTTCCATTCATTAGACGATTGAAGTGCTAAAACACAACTCGTTATCCTTGAACATTGATTTTTTTAATGAATCTTGACATTTTTTGGATTGATGATTTGACAAAACTCAAATTCGTACTTTAGATCCTCCTTGAATAATACTTTAATGAAGAAGAATCTTACTTGAAACCATATGAACGAATCTCCCAACCCTATCTTGAATGAACCATTAACAAAATCATGAACTTAATAAGACCTTGAATCAATATTAAATCCGAGCATGATTAGAAGTTATAACGAATCCAACTCAATAATCATTTCTCTCAGTAATCCAAGTTAACTTGCAATTGAAGTAACAAGTATTTGATGAGAACCAAAAATTGTATCATACAAAACAAGTCCACAATCTTGAAGGAGAGAGGCTCAAGATAACCGTAAGACCAAACCCTAATCCAATGATCCCCAGTTGAAGCATAATAGATGAAAACCCTAATTCTTAAGCCTTGAAGAAAGAATCCTTGCAACTTGATGTTGAGAAGAAGAGAATAGACCCGTAGCTTGATGATAAAGAAGTCCATGAAATAAAACCCTAGCTTCAAACAAATGATTGATGGAGAAATCAATTGAAACAAGCATGTTCTAAGATGAGAGCCTTAAAGCCATACAACAACCCCAATTCCTCAATATCCTAGATCTCGTGCTAAATTTATTGGTTAGTGATGCATGAGGTGTTAATTGACCTAATGGAGGGTATGAAAATGAAATGAGAATGGAATGCATAAGCCATATGAAAATGGAAGGGTAGGATAAATTTGGGGTATTACACCGCTATTTGGGTAACCCGTTACTGCTAAGTTGACAGCATTTTATAATTCTTTGAAAAATTCATAACTTGAGTTCTAGACGTCTGATTTAAGTTCTGTTTGAAGCGATAGAAAACTAATATGATGAAATTTGTTTTAAAAATGGTCCCAACACCTAGAAGTAATTTATTTGTCATGTGAAGAGGTTGGATAAGAGGCGGAGTTTGTTATGGATCTCGTTCTTGGTACCAGACTTGTTCCTATGGCACCATACAAGATTTCAGTTCAAAGTTAGGAGAATTGGAGAAGTTATTAGAAGATGTGCAAAGAAATAGATTTGTAAAAACGAGTGTATTAATTTGGAAGCTTTGATGTCATTAGTTAAGGATAAATAAAGTAGTATAAAATTTTATGTGTATTACCGAATAACTGATTTAAGTAGTGGTTGAGGTTACACGTCCACTTTAAATGATTGACAATTTGATGGATTAACTGGTAGGAGAATATGTCTTCGGTATACTTGAATTGAGGTTGAGTTACTTTTAGATTCGGGTGAGGGATGAGGATAATTGAAGGATATCTTTTAGAACACAGCGAAGTTATTTTGAATAATTGGATATGTTCGTTGCGGTGTTTATTGAGGGTATTTTGATTTAGTCTGAGACAAAAAAGGAAATGTTGAGTGTCGTGATTTGAATTACAGTGTCGAAAGGGAAGAAAATATATGTAAGGATGTCAGGATGTAGATCATGATTTGTTGGGGTGAATGTTCTTGAACATGCTATTTTGAATGAAGAGATTTGTGGAATCTATCCAAATTAAATAGAGGTCTATACTGAGAGGCTCTAAAATTGGTTATGGAGACTAGAAGTTTTTTGGGATTAATTGGTTATTATCGCAGTTTTCTTAAGACGAGGTCAAGTGAGATATGTTGTTAATGAATGAGCTAAGGGAATTAGATGTTTGCCATTAGTAAGGATTTTGATATATTAGATAAGTGCATAGAGATACAAATTATGCTGATTAAGGATGATTAGAATGGAAATAGTTCTTGAGGAGAAGATAAGTAATGCTAGAGGAAAGATAAATTCAAGAAAGATAGGAATCATGGTTATGACGAAAAATATAGACATGAGTTATGGGGAAATTGGGGAGTTCTATTACCATCCATATGAAGAAATTGTATTGTTGAGATTGTGATTAGGATGAGATCTATGTGTGAGATTAAAGGAAATGGTAAGGATTTATTGATGTAGTCAAAGTCTTCTAACTGGATAAAGACTCCTTTTGGAACGAAATGATTTGGATTATACTTGGTGCAGTAGTTTTCCTGTATTAGAATATACTTAACAATTGTGTTGTGCTGCGTGCGTGTGACGGAGACGACGAAACATATTTTTGGCGTTTATGTATCATTGATGAGGTTGGAATGAAAGAAATTAAGAAAAACGTTTGTAAGGCTTGGAGATATTGTTGGACATTATGCTCAGGTAACTTTGAGCGTAAGGTGAAGGACGTTATTATAGTTGGGTAATGATGATTTATGCCACCATTATGGTTGTTGACTACCTATTGACAAATTGAGGAACTGGTCACCCATAATCTCTTGTTGATAGTAGACAAGATCGTGTTGGATGGGATACACTTACCTTGCCAGCTTAATGATGTGTAAAGTGAATTAGCATTTTATCAAGAGGATAGTTGTTCACCATTTTGTGCGAACCTAATACAAAAGTGCCTATGAAAGAATTGAGATTTATTGAATAGTGCATTGACATGAGTTGGTATGTGAGCTAACGCTGCATAGTGGAAGTTTGAGGGTGCCAAAGAGTGAACATTAATTTTCTGGTGGATACTAAAGAGAGACTGAAGATATATGTGAGACTTATAGATCTGATAGTGGATGGAAATCAAAATGAGGATAGTGACTTTGAGGTAAGTGATCAGAGTGGCGTAGAGGAAGCGTGAATGTGGCACACTTCCTTATGCGTGTATGACTTATTAGGAGTCGATGAATAAACTTTAGATGGCTAAAGGAATGATGTAAACTCATGGATATTCCAGAACAAAAGTGATAGGCGGAGGGTTTGTATGTTTTTCGTGTTGCTGGCATGTTAATAGAATGTATTGAAATGCATGTTTGATTGGTGAGACATAGCATTTTAGTATTGGTGTGTGTGTCACCATTGTCAATATTATGGTTAAGTTTATGTCCTTACGACAGTATTGCCGTGTAATAAAGTGATAGATTATGTATCCTAGGATGATGGGAGGAGGAGTGAGACGAACTGGTGAGTTCATAACCCGATAACAAGGAATTTTGTGGGATCATGGTGGTTAACTAGACGAGATGTTGGTTAGTAATACTTGAAATGATGTAAAACATGACGTGGAAGTTGGAAGGAAGGATGCGAGAGTCGTATTCGGAGTTGTTAGTATCAAGTGGATTTTCGAGGACAAAAATATTCTAAGTTGGGGAGAGTTGTAACACCCTGATTTAATTAGAATTATTTTTAATTAAATAATTAGATGATGCGATGTATTTGTATGTGTTGGTGAATATTGTGACGTGATGTATTTGTTAGTAATTAGATGTCTTAGAAACTATATAAGTTGAGGTGATAGGGGTGTATGACTAAAAGTGTAGAAATATAAGGGTGAGAGTGATAATTGGTATTTTTGGGTTAAATGTGACGTTTACTATTATTTTATAATAATTAAAATAGAATTATTAATAGAATAATAGGATTAGTATTATTTTATTAAATAATTAATTAAGAAGGTTATATTATTATTGGAATATATTAGACAAAGAATAAGGGAAAAGAGTTAGATCGTAGAAACAAGAGAAAGAGAAGTGTAGAAGTGAGAAGAGGAGAAAACACTAGGAAGCTAGGGCAGGAAGATTCACTGTAGAAATCAAGAACTGCGATAATCTAAGGTAAGGGGGGATTCTAATACTATAATGGGTTGCCTAATGATGGGGTGTGGTAGAATTTAGGTTTCATGGTTGTATGTTTTGATTTCTCCCTAATTGGTGTTCTTGAGGTTTTTCTCCCATTATTGAGTTTTGATGCATTTTTGTATGATTGATTGTGAAATTGATTATGTGTTTTGGTTAGAATCAATAGGAAGGTGTTGGTGAAAATTTAGCATGATTGAAAGCTAAATTTTGATGAGAAAAACTGGAAATTTTGGTGTTGAAATGTTAAAAGTCACATTTGGAAAAGTTGCATATTTTTCTATTATGCGACATTGGTAACCAATTACTAGTCTGCTGGTAACCGGCTACGACGTGAAAATTTGAAGAAAAAGGCTATTTGTTATGCAGTAAACAGTTACCGTAATACAGTAATCAGTTACTGCTGGCATATTTTTGAAAAATAGAGCTATTTACTTGCGCAGTAACCGGATACTGTAATGCAGTAACCGGTTACCACCGTGTTAGTCAGAATTTTGTAAAATTGAAAACTCCATAACTTTCACCTCGGGTGTCTGTTTGACGCGCCGTTTGCACCATTGGAAAGCTGAAATCATTTTGTATCCTATAAAAATAAATTGGAAAACAGTAGCTAATTATTTTAACAACATTGGTGCCTATCTCTGTATATTCCTGAGTAATGTGTGATGATTTATGTTATGATTAATTATGATGATGTTGTATGAATGGTTTAATTGTTTGCATGATGTATTGCATGATGATGATGATGGCGATGTCATGTATTAGCATGACATTGATAGGTAAGAATAATCAATGTGAAATTATGTTGTTGCATTTTGATTGTGTGACATGATATGCATG